GGAGCATTGTACAGTGGTACTGTGGAACATTGTACAGTGGCGCAGTGGAACATTGTACAGTGGCGCTGTGGAGCATTGTACAGTGGTACAGTGGAGCATTGTACAGTGGCGCTGTGGAACATTGTACAGTGACGCTGTGGAACATTGTACAGTGGCGCTGTGGAACATTGTACAGTGGCGCTGTGGAACATTGTACAGTGGTACTGTGGATCATTGTACAGTGGCGCTGTGGAACATTGTACAGTGGTACTGTGGAGCATTGTACAGTGGTACTGTGGAACATTGTACAGTGGTACAGTGGAGCATTGTACAGTGGTACAGTGCTATATAGGTATAAAGAATTTTTACTCTTCTGGTTAAAAGAATTGAAACCAGAAGTTCATTGGATGCATCAGGCTATTGTGATTTCTGTGTGTAGTGTAAAGTACCAATAGTGTCTTTCGAGGGGCAAAATATGTACTATTCTACTACATAAGAAAATGGTCCACATATTAAATGATTCATTTTTTTTGTACAGAGGCTGTGGAAGATGGCAGTAATCAAAGTAAAGGTTTCTTAAGTGTAGTACATTAATGTACTACATGACTACTTTATATAGTACATTTATGTACTATATTATCCCTAGGAAGGCATGTGCTATGCTTAGGATTGGTAATTTAGGCCTAGGTTAGGTTAGGTTAGGTTCGGTTAGGTTCGGTTAGGTTAGGTTAGGTTCAGTTACGTTAGGTTCGGTTAGGTTAGGTTCAGTTAGGTTAGGTTCGGTTAGGTTAGGTTCAGTTAGGTTAGGTTCAGTTAGGTTAGGTTCAGTTAGGTTAGGTTCAGTTACGTTAGGTTCGGTTAGGTTAGGTTCAGTTAGGTTAGGTTCAGTTAGGTTAGGTTCAGTTAGGTTAGGTTAGGTTAGGTTCGGTTCGGTTAGGTTAGGTTCAGTTAGGTTAGGTTCGGTTAGGTTAGGTTCAGTTAGGTTAGGTTCAGTTAGGTTAGGTTCAGTTAGGTTAGGTTCAGTTAGGTTAGGTTCAGTTAGGTAAGGTTCAGTTAGGTTAGGTTAGGTTAGGTTAGGTTAGGTTCAGTTAGGTTAGGTTCAGTTAGGTTAGGTTCAGTTAGGTTAGGTTCAGTTAGGTAAGGTTCAGTTAGGTTAGGTTAGGTTTAGAGTTACTCTGTTCACATTTTTTTGTGATTCTTTGGAATTCCAATTGCACATAATGTAATTTTTTGGGGCCACAAAATTCAATATTTTCTTCATGCCATTTATAGTAACAAGAGGATTCCGAATTTTCGAAGGATGAGTTAATTTTTTTTGTTATTTATTTATATTTATATGTACAGATGGGTTAAAAATATTATTTATTTGTTTTATTTATTTATTTATACAAGGAGGAAGTACATTGGTTTTATGAGCGTACATAGCATTGATTTTTTACATTTTTACAAAACCACTAACACGCTGGGCCTTAATTTAAAAGATAATTTTAAGCAGGTAATTTGTTGCAAAAAATTATAAATTAATAAATATATTATAAGAGAATTTGAATAATATTAATAGGTACAATGTAGTGAAATTTGAGAAGTATGACCAGGTACATTGTAGCATAATTTGAGGATTATTAATCGGTACATTGTAGCATAATTTGAGGACTATTAATCGGTTCATTGTAGCATAATTTGAGGACTATTAATCGGTTCATTGTAGCATAATTTGAGGACTATTAATCGGTACATTGTAGCATAATTTGAGGACTATTAATCGGTTCATTGTAGCATAATTTGAGGACTATTAATCGGTACATTGTAGCAAAATCTGAGGACTATTAATCGGTTCATTGTAGCATAATTTGAGGACAATTCATCGGTACATTGTAGCAAAATCTGAGGACTATTAATCGGTTCATTGTAGCATAATTTGAGGACTATTAATCGGTTCATTGTAGCATAATTTGAGGACTATTAATCGGTACATTGTAGCATAATTTGAGGACTATTAATCGGTACATTGTAGCATAATTTGAGGACTATTAATCGGTTCATTGTAGCATAATTTGAGGACTATTAATCGGTACATTGTAGCATAATTTGAGGACTATTAATCGGTACATTGTAGCATAATTTGAGGACTATTAATCGGTACATTGTAGCATAATTTGAGGACTATTAATCGGTTCATTGTAGCATAATTTGAGGACTATTAATCGGTACATTGTAGCAAAATCTGAGGACTATTAATCGGTTCATTGTAGCATAATTTGAGGACTATTAATCGGTACATTGTAGCATAATTTGAGGACTATTAATCGGTACATTGTAGCAAAATCTGAGGACTATTAATCGGTTCATTGTAGCATAATTTGAGGACTATTAATCGGTACATTGTAGCATAATTTGAGGACTATTAATCGGTTCATTGTAGCAAAATTTGAGGACTATTAATCGGTACATTGTTGCAAAATCTGAGGACTATTAATCGGTACATTGTAGCAAAATTTGAGTTCAACATTTATTTATTTTATTTATTTATATACAAGAAAGTACATTGGGTTTGTGAGAATACATAGCATAGTACAGTAATTACAATCTTGTAAACCCACTAGTACGCGCAGCGTTTCGGGCAGGTCCTTAATCTAACAGATAATTTTAAGTAGGTAAATTCTTTCAGAATTAATAAAATGATAACAAATACATTGCAAGAAAAAAATGAGATGAGAGAGATTAGTAAGTATATTAAAGCACATTGGTATATTAAAGCTCTGATTGATTACATTGACAGCTTGATTGGTAATTTAAACAAGATTAATAGACACCATACAGCAGATTGACAGCACATATAAGAAGACAGCAATGATCACAATGGTAAAGATGTTCAGATTGGGTACATAAAGATTGGGAGATTGGGTAGCAATAGACACATAAATATGATATAAGTTGATAGCAATGATTACAATGGGGGGAAGTTGCATGTCTCGGATGCATATATTGGGGGAGTGGATAGCACAGGATAGTGTGAGTTTGAAGCATTAGGTAGAGAACTATGAGGGTGAAATTAGGTGCTTTTTTGGTTTTACTTTTTGAAGAAGGCATATGTTTGACAGCTTTTTAATTCCTTAGGGAGTGAGTTCTATTGATTAGGTCCCTTTATTGGCATAGTGTTTGCACAGATTTAGTTTGACTTTTGAGGATATCAAAGAAAGATTTATTTCTGGTGTGGTGATTATGGGTTCTGTTACATCTGTCAAGAAGAGTTTCAGATCAGGATTTGCATTTAGGAACATTGTTTTGTACATGTAAATGGCACAAGAAAATATGTGGAGTGAGTGTATGTTTAGCATGTTTAGGGATTTTAATAGAGGAGGGCTGTGTGTTGTCTGAGAATAGTTATTGTTCTGATAGCACATTTTTTGATGGGCGATGTTGAGCTTGAGGTAATTTGCAGTATTTTTTTTTACCATGTCGTAGCTCAGTCGATTAAGGCAGCGTCTGGGATCCTCTCAGACGTAAGTTCGAATCCTCGTCACGGCCCTTGTGGATTTGTTGATTTGCAGTAGTTGAACCCCATGCACAGATACTGTTTGTAAGATAGGGATAGATTAGCGAGTAGTATAATAAGAGGAGAGCAGAGTGGGGGAAAATAATGTCTGATTTTAGAGAGTATACTGACATTTGTTGAGACCTTTCTGGCTATGAGATTAATTTGGATGCTGAAGTTGAGTCTCTTATCTATGGATAGGTCTGATAGATAGATAGATAGATAGAGCAGTGTCTGCTCACGCAAAATGGTGCTTTTAACCTGAGCAACTAAGCTCCTTGGTTAGTGTAACCAGTTCTCAACAGAATAATAAAATCTTTGATTCTTGGGAAGTATGATATGGATAGGCCAAGGAACTTCCCATCATTTGTATTGCTGATATTAACATTGTCTATCTTAAGTTGAATTTAATTTGATGATTTGCTTGCAAATATAATGTAATAGATCTTTTCTATGTTTAGTGTGTTGGTTGACCTCCATGAGTGAACTGTTTTTAATTCGTTATTTACAACATTATTTAGTGTGTGTGGGTTGGGGGTCTGAGTAGATGAAGTCAGTATCGTCAGCAAATAGTACAGGTTTAAGAAAGAGACATTTGGCAGATCATTGATGTATATAAGAAATAGGAGAGGTCCTAGGGTGCTGCCCTGTGGCACCCCTACGGTTAATGGTAGAGTGGGAGAGGTTATATCATTAATGCCTACATGCTGGGCTGGTGTCTGTCATTATAATAGGATCGGATATAGTTAGTCTCGGATTCCATAATGGTGAAGTTTAAGTAAGAGGTAGTTATGGGTTGCAATATCAAAGGTCTTTCTCAAGTCAATGAACAGCCCAATTGGAACTCATTTTTTGTCAAGGGCTGAGTAGATTATATCAAGCAGACTAATAATGGCATTATTCTATAGGGAGCTGAAGCCAGTCTAAAAGGGACTTAAAATGTTGAATTTCACAAATTAGGAGTAGAAACTGTTTGTAAAACATAAAAAAAGAAAATATTTTTGATAATATAGGTAGATTAGATATTTGATATGTAATTGTTTGTCAGTCGTATCGCCTCCTTTATGAACTGGCGATAATTGTGTTTGTTGAGGATATCAGGAGGAAGTATGAACTAGAGATTTGTTGAATAACAGAGGCATGGGAGGCACTCTTGTACACCATAGCTGGTATTTCACTAGTGTTCCCAACTTTGGGAACTTTGAAAATCGATAAATATACAAGAGAGAGATTCCAAGTATTTGCATAAACAATATGGGTAAAATGTCATTGTACTTTGATATGATGGGTAATTTATGCATTACGTTATATAGAACCTTAATGGAATTTGTCGACTTAATTACGTGCTCTAATTGACTGGTTATAAATCTGGATAAAATAAATATTTTACAGTTGTAATGAGGTTTAATGAGTTATTCTGGACGGGGTAATAAATGCAACCCTCCCTCCTGATCTGGGAAGACCTGGTTACGAGAGGTTGGGCGGACTATGTTGTGCTGTTGGGCGGGGTTGTACATACGTGGGCGTGGTTGTACATGCGTGTGCGGGGTTGTACATGCGTGGGCGTGGTTGTACATGCGTGGGCGGGGTTGTACATGCGTGGGCGTGGTTGTACATGCGTGGGCGTGGTTGTACATGCGTGGGCGTAGTTGTACATGTGTGGGCGTGGTTGTACATGCGTGGGCGTGGTTGTACATGCGTGGGCGTGGTTGTACATGCGTGGGCGTGGTTGTACATGCGTGGGCGGGGTTGTACATGCGTGGGCGGGGTTGTACATGCGTGGGCGTGGTTGTACATGCGTGGGCGTGGTTGTACATGCGTGGGCGTGGTTGTACATGCGTGGGCGTGGTTAGTAGCGTGGGCGTGGTTAGTAGCGTGGGCGTGGTTAGTAGCGTGGGCGGGGGTGTGTGCACGTTGACATGGTAGTATAGATGTGGTTTTTGCTCCGATGTGTTGACAATTACCGGAGTGTAATTGAGCTTTCGCGGACGTGGTTGGCCGATGGCGCGCGATCTTGCGCTGGATTTGCGTAGCTGTAGTGCCGTGGTTATGCAAATGAGATTGCGTGCAAGGGCTTTCGCGAATGGGGTTGCGTGTGTGGGGGGGGGATTGTTAGTGCTTTGTGGGCGTGGTTAGAATGTCATAACTGCGAAGAACATCAGAGCAAGACATGGAGTTCATTGTCCTAACAAGTTAGCGTGATGAAAGGTACCATTATCAAATCTAATATTTTATGAATTGCTTTTTCATTTAATCCTCTCCTAAATCATAGTGGTTTACGAGACGTGAATTAGAGACAGTCGTGGGTCTATCGTCTGTCTGTCTGTAGCAGATAGACAGGAGGGGATAAAATAAAGAGGGGAATAGGCGTAGGATAAAAACAAGGGGATAAAATGTCAAATTAAAACAGGGAGCAAAGCAAGGTAACATTCAGAAAGGGAAGGATAGATTCAGGAGAAAACGCCAAGCGATTACGACTTTAAAACACTTGGGGTCAGGATAAGGATTTGGGATGGGACGGGGCAGGAAAGGAATGGTGCCCAATCACTTGTGGACGGTCGGGGGATTGAACGCCGACCTGCATGAAGCGAGACCGTCGCTCTCCCGTCCAGTCCAAGTGGTTGGGCATCACTGCCAGGAATAAATTATCTTGGGTTATTGGCAGTAAGTGACTATTGAAGCTTTCATTTGGCTTTAATTGCTTTAGAGCAATTGCTATGACCTGTGTGTGTGTAGCTAGGATTGCTACGAAGAGATTGACAACCGTCACATGGCCTCGGGTGCTCACTTGGGCTCTAGGGCTCTAATAAGGATCACTTGGGCTCTGGGGCTCATTCTCTGGGCTGGGTTACATCGCGTACTCAAAGGCATCCACCGGCGAAGCCCGGTCTCCTTAAAGAATGGACTAGATACAAAAACAGCAAATCCTCTCGGTTACAGACGTTGATTCACGGCGTTGTTCACTGTTTTTGTAACCACAGGTGATAAGGTTATCCAAGAACCCCTCTTTCACCTTGGCCCGAGAAACATTCACTTGACCTTTAACCTCTACGAGGGTGAACGAGGGACTGCCATTGTTAGAGGCGCCCGGAAAGCCCTCGATGTTTCAAGAAATTGCGGGACCGCGCTGTCGACCTTCGCTGTCGACGCCCGCGCTGTCGACGCCCGCGCTGTCGACACCCACGCTGTCGACACCGCGCTGTCGACGCCCGCGCTGTCGACGCCCGCGCTGTCGACGCCCGCGCTGTCGACGCCCGCGCTGTCGACACCCACGCTGTCGACACCGCGCTGTCGACACCCGCGCTGTCGACGCCCGCGCTGTCGACACCCGCGCTGTCGACCTTCGCTGTCGACGCCCGCACTGTCGACACCGCGCTGTCGACACCCGCGCTGTCGACACCCACGCTGTCGACACCCACGCTGTCGACACCCACGCTGTCGACACCCGCGCTGTCGACACCGCGCTGTCGACACCCACGCTGTCGACACCCGCGCTGTCGACACCCGCGCTGTCGACACCCGCGCTGTCGACACCCACGCTGTCGACACCCACGCTGTCGACACCCACGCTGTCGACACCCGCGCTGTCGACACCGCGCTGTCGACACCCACGCTGTCGACACCCGCGCTGTCGACACCCGCGCTGTCGACACCCACGCTGTCGACACCCGCGCTGTCGACACCGCGCTGTCGACACCCGCGCTGTCGACACCCGCGCTGTCGACGCCCGCGCTGTCGACACCCGCGCTGTCGACACCCGCGCTGTCGACACCCTCTGAAGTACCGCCACGCCGACTGCGAATGGTTCTTTATTGCGCGTGAATGTCTCCGTTCTTGCTGCGACTTCCTTGTTAATCGCAACCATTTAGTTCTTATATATACGATTTAATATTATAATATAATAGAATATTATAGTTATAATATTCTCCTTAGTGGGCAGTTCAGCTTTCACTATCATAATATAAGGCTTATCAGACATAATATCACACATAATATAAGGCATAATATCAGGCATTATTAGGAATATGAACATTAACCTTAAAACGCAAAATTTGTAAATATATGATCAAAATCATTTGAATAAATCTTATGATAAATTTTTTTACCTAATTAAACTTTTAAACACTTTAAATACCCTGAAAGTTGAAGAGAGTTGAAAAACCTGTCATGCTCTTTATACCTTATATTTCTATATTGGTATATAGTTCCAATATATATAGTTCCAATATATATAGTTCCAATATATATATTGGTATATAGTTCCAATATGTATATAGTAATATTGAACCTTATAGTTCAATATCGGTTGACCAGACCACACACTAGAAGGTGAAGGGACGACGACGACGTTTCGGTCCGTCTTGGACCATTCTCAAGTCGATTGTGAGACAATATTTTTTATACCATTTGATCTGTTTCGTGCGTGATTTGAACGTGTTTGTGTTTAAAGAGCTTTAATGATCTTTTTAAACCATTACGTATAATGTGTTTTAGCGACGTCAAAAGAATGTTTTCCTCTTGTAAGTTCCAATCTCCTAATACCTATCTCCTACCTAATTCTCCTAAGACTGGAATGGCTAACATATAACATTCCTACTTGAAAATATTATCACAGCTTTATTTGCATACATTATATGATCCATATTTAACCTGACGCTTGGCAAGAGCAAATTTAATGGCGTGTAAAGGAAATGCTAATTTCTCCTTACTCGTAAACTATGGTAATATGTCCTGATTCCCACTTGCGTGCAACAGTGTGTGTGTGTGTGTGTGTGTACTCACCTAATTGTGTTTGCGGGGGTTGAGCTCTGGCTCTTTGGTCCCGCCTCTCAACTGTCAATCAACTGGTGTACAGATTCCTGAGCCTATTGGGCTCTATCATATCTACATTTGAAACTGTGTATGGAGTCAGCCTCCACCACATCACTGCCTAATGCATTCCATTTATTAACTACCCTAACACTGAAAAAGTTCTTTCTAATGTCTCTGTGGCTCATTTGGGTACTCAGCTTCCACCTTCCACCTGTGTGTGTGTGTGTGTGTGTGTGTGTTTACTAGTTGTGTTTACTAGTTGTGTTTTTACGGGGGTTGAGCTTTGCTCTTTCGGCCCGCCTCTCAACTGTCAATCAACTGTTTACTAACTACTTTTTTTTTTTTTTTCTTCCCCACACGTCACACACACACCCCCCAGGAAGCAGCCCGTGACAGCTGACTAACTCCCAGGTACCTATTTACTGCTAGGTAACAGGGGCACTTAGGGTGAAAGAAACTTTGCCCATTTGTTTCTGCCTCGTGCGGGAATCGAACCCGCGCCACAGAATTACGAGTCCTGCGCGCTATCCACCAGGCTACGAGGCCCCCATGTGTGTGTGTGTGTGTGTGTGTGTGTGTGTGTGTGTGTGTGTGTGTGTGTGTGTGTGTGTGTGTGTGTGTGTGTGGGAGTCAGTATGATTATGCCTACATAATGCTGAATGCCAAAAGGAATCTTGATTGCACAGGAAATATAATGCTCCACTAACTCCCCCCCCCCCCCTTCCCTTTTCCCCACAAAAAATGCGACACATGCAAGAAAATGGAATGTTAAATTTTAGATTTAACAGCTGATAAATTGCACCGCTAAACGTAAGCGTGTCATCTAAATTGCGTTGCGTGAGTATGTCGTTTGCGTGCGTGTGTGGTGGAAGATTTCCACGCAAATCACTTAATTACAAGCGTGTTATACCGCGCGTGCGTGTGTGTGACAGTTGGAAAGTGTGGGAAAGATATGAAAATATTTTAATGAGGCGAACGATAAATGTTGGTCTAAGGGTTAGATTGACAGCTGTGAGTTGACACTTGTCAAATCAGACACTTGTCATACTAATGTGTCAAATCAATGAGAAAATCCGTCGGAGACGTGATTATACGTGAAAATGTGTGGGGGATCACTCACTCGCATAGGTTCGAATCCACATGACAGCTCCTACGGATTTCCTCAACTATGATATTGTTAGAAGAATAATAATAGATCATTGAGGGGAGGAATATATCCAATGTTCCGAGTCGTAACGAGACATAATGACAGGGGTCTAAGCTACGGTCTAGATAGCGCGCAGGACTCGTAATTCTGTGGCGCGGGTTCGATTCCCGCACGAGGCAGAAACAAATGGGCAAAGTTTCTTTCACCCTGAATGCCCCTGTTACCTAGCAGTAAATAGGTACCTGGGAGTTAGTCAGCTGTCACGGGCTGCTTCCTGGGGGTGGAGGCCTGGTCGAGGACCGGGCCGCGGGGACACTAAAGCCCCGAAATCATCTCAAGATAACCTCAAGATAAGATAGCCAGATAACATTGATAGCAAGTTGCAAAGTGAAACCTAACTTTAGTGACACCCATCACTTAGACTGATACCAGATCTGATCATATCTATGTGTAGCTAATAGTCACAGTTGCCTAACTAGCAAAATTTTCGTGAAATGTTGAATTTTTTCAAGAATGATAGTTTTCATTGTATTATAATTGTAATTTTATTTTATTTGAGTCAAAAGTAACAAATTTGATCAAAGCTATCCTGTCTTAACTTATCCTGCCCTAACTTATCCTGTCTTAACTTATCCTGCCCTAACTTATCCTGTCTTAACTTATCCTGTCCTAACTTATCCTGCCCTAACTTATCCTGCCCTAACTTATCCTGTCCTAACTTATCCTGTCCTAACTTATCCTGTCCTAACTTATCCTGTCCTAACTTATCCTGTCCTATCTTATTCTGTCCTAACTTATCCTGTCCTAACTTATCCTGCCCTAACTTATCCTGTCTTAACTTATCCTCTCCTAACTTATCCTGTCCTAACTTATCCTGT